GGAGCTTCTCTGGCCGGCTATCTTCTCTGGCCAATTAATACCCTTTTTAGGCCGATTTCTACGATTTATGCACCCCGCAAAAGAAGTCTGATGGAGACTTAACACATATGGTGACTGTAGTAACTGTTCAAGAACAATCCCAGTCAGCTGTGTGGTGTACTAGCCTCTACCAGGCTTCGGGAGGCGGATGGAAAGAGTAGAAATTTGGCCAAATAGAGGGATAACATGCTACTGGTGCGACAAACTATACTCTTTAGCGCACCAACTCCTGGCATGTCATCTCTCTATTTGGCCAAATTTGCACTCTTTCCAGCTGCCTCCCGAAGCCTGGCAGAGGCTATGGCATGCCTTTGAAAACATGAATTGATACCACAGAAGTCTATCACTTCTAATAGAAGCCAATTTCAGCTTATCACCCAGACGTACTCACTAGAATATGACCCTAGAACCTCACGCCTTTAGACGTAAACGAAGTTAATATGGATTTTAGATGTCATAAACGTCCTTATAAATAGGTGGAAATTGTCAACGTTTAAAATTCTTCTAGTAGTATTTGAATTTCTCACAGTAAGGCCACAGCAAGTAATTTTCGCACGATTTTGGAAGAATTTTGTTGCCCTCAGACGGTAGTCAACATGCCGAAAATGGGAAAGAAATTCTTTTACCATGCCGGAACGTGGATGGCAGATAGATATAAAGAACAATGCTCTGATTTATTGTTTTGTCTTTTACTTTGATGTAGTGAGGCATTTCATTCCTTTTATATATGATGTTCCTACTGAATCGAAAACGTGTACAATGATTGAAAACGTTTAATTTTCAAAGTTGTTTCAGTGACAAATGGATGTTGTAATAGTTGGCAGTAAGCATAGTTTAACAAGGTGTCAAAATTCGAAAATGTAGGAATCTTGTTTTTTCGCCCTATCGCATTAGATTTGGAGTCTGCGGAGGATGTGATCCATAAAATTTACCTGCTGTGGCCTAATTAACAAATCGCTAGGCGCTTACTTCTCAGTTTAGTTTCATAAGACCCACAGATTAAAGATTAGATGTCTTCTTTGTTCAAAATAAATGAGAGAATTCAGATCTCCAACAAATCCCATTCACTCCCCGACAGTCTCGTACATGTAAGAAAAACAGCCGTATTAGTTTCTAAATGAAAGCGAAGGTCGCCATTCGTCTTCTGTATAATCAATGGGCCGGTCGAAGTAAGCCCCCCATCGAGGACTAATTCCAACTTTCACTAAAGATTTAAGCGTCAGATATCAGCAGAGAAGCAATAAATATCTCTATATAAGACCTTTTCATAAATTGCGAAATCTGCGTTTTTATCTAACATGAATCCCGGGACGCTATTTGTAATATAAAAACTGGAAGACTAAGAAAAGACTGGAGTCACTGAAGGCAATACTAAAAACACCCTGGAATGATGGTGATGATAATGATACAGTATAGTTCAATCTATTTGCTGGCTTCTTCATGATATTTCTTACTCTGATATTAAGTCTTATCGTAGGTTCTTTTATCCCCAGAAAATTCACTCTAAAAATGCTGAACTGGCTCTGCTGTGCCAACCTCACGTAACCCAATATGTTTCTTATATCATATGCCACAGATACGTTGCAATCTATTTGCTGGCTTCTTCGTGATATTTTTTACTCTGATTTTAAGTCTTATCATGGGTTCTTTTATCTCCAGAAAATTATCTCTAAAAATGCTGAACTGGCTCTTTTGTGCCAACCTCACGTAACCCAATATGTTTCTTATATCATATGCCACAAATACGTTGCAATCTATTTGCTGGCTTCTTCGTGATATTTCTTACTCTGATTTTAAGTCTTATCATGGGTTCTTTTATCTCCAGAAAATTATCTCTAAAATGCTGAACTTGCTCTGCTGTGCCAACCTCACGTAACCCAATATGTTTCTTATATCATATGCCACAAATACGTTGCAATGTATTTGCTGGCTTCTTCGTGATATTTCTTACTCTGATTTTAAGTCTTAATCATAGGTCCTTTTATCCCCAGAAAATTCACTCTAAAAATGCTGAACTTGCTCTGCTGTGCCAACCTAGCGTAACCCAATATGTTTCTTACATCATATGCCACAAATACGTTGCAATCTATTTGCTGGCTTATATACTCTCCAAGCAGAGGTAGGGTCGCTCGGTATTTTGGCAGTATTTTCGCGTTTTTAATACGTCTTTCTACTTTTACGGTTTGTAAGGGGAGGAAGACCAGAGAAAAACCGTAAAAGTATAAAGACGTATTAAAAACGCGAAAATACTGCCAAAATACCGAGCGACCCTACCTCTGCTTGGAGAGTAGGCTTCTTCGTGATATTTCTTACTCTGATTTTAAGTCTTATCGTAGGTTCTTTCATATCCCCAGAAAATTCATATAATATAATATACCACAAATACGTTGCGTTTTCAGTCAAGTATGGATGGGTAGAATAATGCCATAGCCTCAGGACAGAGATTAAGCATTCAATTACTTACGTTATCATTTGCACAAGACAAAGAGGCGGGCTTGACTCTGAGCCTTGAACTTGAAAGCCCGCTCAGCGGTCCCTAAGCGTCTCTCTAATTCACGCACGCCAACAACAAAATCAATTGAGCTTTACTCTGTACTGAACTTACTAAATATCTTTTTTCATCATCCTCCGCTTTTTGCCATTTCCCTGGCAGAAAATCGATACAGCATAAAGCTGTTGCATTACGGGAAAGGATTAACAATGACAGGGGTCCAATAAGTTTTAAACAACCATTCATCAAGGCACGTTCTACCGGAGCGCAACTTTGAACATCGCCCAAAAGGAAGCGACGAATCGTGGATGACAAATTAGAGGCTTACTGTACTCCAGTTTTTTTCTTGGCATGCATACGTATAGGAATGATGAACTAGTTTCCTTCTTGTTCCCTTCGAATGTGTGATTACTATCTGTGTAGGTATTTCACGGTTTCGTGCGTAATTTTATGGCGCGTTTGGTAAGGAAATGTTTCCGTTATAGTTCAGGCTCTTGACAGTGAAGGGTCATAGGCACGCCTTTTGACTTGATGACGTTTAATCGTACATTTCATAAGGCCACGCCGTCTTAATTTTCTGGATGACATCCTCTGAAGACCCCCCAAAGTAGTGCACGCGGGCGAATAAAAAAAAATTCCGTCCAAAAATAAAAATGCTACAAAACCACAGGAATACAAAGCTGTTATTGTGAATTTGCGGCAGTACATAGCGACGTATACGACAAGCTGGTACATGCTGGCTTTTTTTCGGAATTTAGGAATCGGCACTGAATGTATGTACTGAGTTTTTGAGTCGTGCAGCTTCGGTAGCGTGGGTGCCGTCCTCAAGAGTTACCACCTCCGTATTGTCGCTAACTACCATGGACTACCTAGGCCTAGAGCCAGGCCAGAGCCTCGAAGGATATGATTTTTTTTTTTTGAGAACAGGCAAAAATCAATGCGCGCGTAGATGTCATCCATAAAATTAAGTCGGTGTGGCCTTATGAAAAACAAGAAACATCAAAACATCAAAATTAAGGAACATCTTATATTTCATTGAAACCCAAACGGAAATGATGTTTAGCTAAATAAATAAACGAAGCTAAACGTTCCAGATTATATATTAGTCTATATTATATCCTTCTTTTTATTTCTGTCGGGGCAAAATTGACCCCTCGTATCAGTAAAAGGCCAAAAGTAAATTAGATTTACGTAACCCGCATCCCGTGTGCACGACGGACATTTATGGTCCAGTTATGACTCTATGTCTATAATTGGGTTCGTGCACTATGGGACATCTCTCTATAGCATAGCCTCCGTACGTAGCAGGCTTATAGAACTGGGAGTTTGGTGGTCTTCGGCTGTTTTCTGATTAGCCCAGTTCTAAAAAAACGGGGGTAATTCAACCAGGCCGGCTATGTTGTCTATATGCAATCAGGAAATAGCACATAAAAGCTCCCAAAGACCCTGAAGACCTCAAAACCCCCCAGTTTTTGGCATGCTATGGAGGCTACTGTAGCAACCCTTGGTCTAGAACGTGCTTTGTGCATGTGCAAAAGTGTAATAAGGATGTTGTTAATTCTATTCTATTCCCTTTTCTTTTTGTACTACTAGTATATGTTCAATAGCCATTGCCACACATTGTACCATGTACAACTGTCGTGCAATAAAGTTCTAAAGTGCATGAACAAGTAATTTGCATAGCGAAGGTTGGAGGAGAAACGTCCTGTATGTGAAAACAAGAAGTCGAGGATCTAATACCTCCGTGCGTGTTGTGAATCTATCGGTTCGTTCATACTCTCCAAGCAGAGGTTTGGGTTTTGGTTTATTTGTGGCGTGTTTTTAGACTATTTTATCGGGCTTTCTTTTTTGCACTGGTATCTTTTTTTTACGCCAACCCAACAGACACAGCCACAAACAGACACACCGAAAACACACAGGTAATAGTCATTTTATACCATTTTCTGAAATAGAAAATATTGCACACATTTTTTTAGAATAGCCCACAAGTACGTATTCTTAACAGGGCACATTGGATCTCGGCTTAACTGAAGTATTTCTGCAGAATTCCCCACACAATTACCGTAGTTACCGCTTATAAGATGGGCGATGGAGGAGCCAGGTATAGGTACGGAATACGTAATACGCCTGTTTCAGTGCGTACGGCGTTTAGGCCACAGCACGTAAATTTTATAGATGACATCCTCCGCAGACTCCAAATCTAATTCGCGCGGGCGAAAAAAAACAAGGCGGGCCGAAAAAAACAAGGTTCCTATATTCTCAAATTTTCACTTAATAAAAATTGTACAAACGGTTTTGATTCAGCGAGAACATCACATATACACAGCTAGTATCACATATCACTACATCAAAGTAAGAAACAAAACATCAGAAATCAGAGCCTTTTCTAATCTCCTCTCTTCATAGTTATCTGCCATCCACCTTTCGGCATCTTTGCCCATTTTCGACATTGTGACCACACAGAAGGCAACAAAATTCCTTTTTTTTCTCTTCTTCCAAAATCAGGCAAAAATTACCGCGCGCGTTGATGTCATCCATAACTAGAGTTCCACGATCTCATACCTTCGCCAAATGATGTTAGCCTTTATGAGTAAGAAATTATAGATTAATCTCCGTGATTGTGCAAATAGGATCCTATATTTGCATCAATTATATCTGTTGATCATATTCTACACCAGAAGACAGTCTTATCTTATCAAAGAATGCCATTAAAGCATTTCCTCATAAATTATGCAAATGAGGTCCTTATTTGAATAAGTTATGTTTAATTATGTTCACCTTCACATAACTTTTAAATATCCCAAGTATGAAATTCCAGGCAGTTACCACTATGTAAATATAACATTTTCTCATTAATTATGCAAATTATGTCTTCATCTGCATAATCGATATCTGCCTGTATTTCTGCCGTTCTTAATTACATATGTCACAAGCTTGAATAGTCCTATCATGGAATGCAGCTGATTTATAGAATTTCCTCATTAATTATGCAAATTACATTAATATATGCATAATTATAATATTATTATGTTAAGCATCACTTCAGCTACCTACATGCCAAAAATCACGACGATCCATCAATCGGTTCTAGAGTTATCCGCCTTTAAATATTTTTCAACTAACGCCCCTGCAGTTCCAGAGCAAGCCGCTAGGGAGACCAAACTCACATCACTTCTTCCCCAGCACAAGAGCTACCCACCATCCAAATTTCGTCACCCTAGCATGTCTAGATCACGAGATATCAAAACCGGAAGTTCAGCTGCAGTACTATAACAAGCCGCTAGGGGGTCCAAAATTTAATCAGTTCCACGTCTCATGAAGACCTATCCACCTACCAAATATCAAGACAATCCATTTTTAGCCTTCTTGAG